AAATAAAAGATCTTTTATTCAATTTATTTTACTCTTATTTTCGTTAGATTGCAGCTTAGATGATAATCGATAGGCTATGCACCTCACCTGATGATCCGCATCTAAGGTACGTTAGCTGTGATCTGAGGCAAGCATTAGTCTGAGGCACAACATATACATTATTTTAAAAATTAGCTAAAATGTTCTAAGTAAAACTGTTCTTGTCTCTAAAAAACTTTCAGAAGTTCTAATTCTAATCTTAATATTAACTCTAATATAAAAAAATTAGTATTAAAAATTTTATATACAAAATTAATAAACATAATAAAAACTTACAGGTGTACTGAATAATTGATTGTAGTAGAAATTAATTGCAATTATTGACCACAATTAGTCAATTAATTGCTATTATTATAACAATAATGATAATGTTATTGTTATATAATTAATATATCACATCAATATCAATAATGATAATGTTATTGTTAAATAATTAATTTATATATCACATCAATATCAATATCGACATGTTATTTAATTTATTAATTTTGGCTGTCTGATTAATTAATGCTTAAATATTAAAGCTTTTAAAGGCATGAATATCAAAAATAGTACACAGTTTTTCATTTTTAATATTTTTCAATGAATGCAAAAGTTTTAAACAAGCTTTATGTCGAGGCCTTTTTTGAATCTACAACTGATGGCAAGCATCAATGTAACTTATGTCCTTCTGGTTCACAACCAATTTCTCAAAAAAAAAAGAACCAGTTATACAAATTTAATGAGTATAAGCACGAAACTTTTAAGTTGATTTATTAACAACATATTGAAAGTGCTATTTCTCTTGTAGCTAATATGTTTGATTATAGCACAAATATGCATAATATTTTTAACTAGATCAGCTTTATTGTAAAATGTCGATTACCATGCAATATTTGTAAAAATCCTAATTTTATTGCACATGCTGGTCTTTCGAAAGTAGATGTCTCCACAGTTATCAAGTATTTTAACAGAAATTGTACAAGAAAAAATAAAAAATATATTACCAGAAAAGATTGGAATAATGTTCGATGGATGGACGAATAATAGAATTTATTTTGTCAGATTGTTTGGTATTTATCAAACAAATCACAAATCCAGAAATTTGTTTTTACTAGATTTTTTACCATTTGAGGATCACACTACTCAGAGCACAGATATGTATATTAAATTTTTTAAGGATGTTTTAGAATTATATAATAAGAGTATTGAAAATGTATTGTTTATTTCAGAAGATAAATGTAGTACTAATAAAAAAATAGCCAATGATTTGGATCTTTTACTTGTAGGATATGCATTATATCATTTGAATTTAGCAATTAATGATCTTATTGATTCTTTAGCAATGCTTGTAAGCCAAATTTGTAAAATTGTAATTATGATGCGTACTTACAAAAATCGTAGAAAACTTGCAAAAGTAATATCGTTAAAGCCTAAATTGGATAATATAACTCGTTGGATGAGTATATTAAAAATGATTGAACAGTATAAAGAATTGATTTCTTACATTACTCAGACTAATGAATTTTCTGGTTTATATATTTTTATTTTTTTTAAATTTTTTTAATTTTATTTATTTTTTTAAAAAATTTTATTTATTTTTTTAGTTTTATTTATTTTTTAGATCAAGATATTTCATTAGTAGAACAATTAAATTTAACTGAAATTAATAACTTTATTAATAGACTTCGATACTTCTCCAAAGCAACTTACCGAGAAACAAAAACTTCAAGCATTTATTGTAGAACAAAATTTACAGCCAATAATCAAAAAAGGATCTATGACTATGAAAGAGCGAGTTGCAAAAAAATGTAAAATAGAAGAATCTAAATACTTAGATATGAATCTCATCCCTCCTATGTCTAACGCTGTTGAGCATTTATTTTTAATTGTCAAGTATTATTATACAGATTGGAAAAAATCTCTTGATTCGCATACTTTAGAAAATCTCTTACTTCTAAGAATGAATAGAGAAATGTGGTCTATTCAAGATGTTAACCAGACTAAACAATAACAATAAAGTTTTGTATTAAATAGAATCAAACTGTAAAAGTCAGATTACATGTGAATAAAAGTTCTAAATTTGTATAAAATTTGCATTTTTTATCTATAAATAGTTTGAAACCCTTAATCAGATATTCATTTCTAGTATTTCTAGTTTAATGTAACAATTAACTTGACTAATTTTTTAAAGTATTAATTTTTTTATGATACTAAAATTGCGTATTGAACATAGTGCTATAAGGAAAAAAATTGAATTTAATTGCAATTAATTGCAATTATTTTGTTATTAATTGGGTTTCAATTAAATTTATGATAATTTTTATTAATTTTAATTGTATGACATATATCAAAAATTAATTTAAATTAATTTTTTAGCAGGCCTGAAAACATATAATAGATACAAAATTACTATAGATATATTTTATCCCTTAAACTATATAGTGTACAAATTTATATACTAACTAGTCTATAAAAATTTTTAAAGTTAAATTTACACCAATCACTATTTGTTTTCTTATTTAATAAACAACTTCTTTTTAAAACTATTGAGATTATAGCAGATTCTTAGACTATATAATCATAAAACAATTTATATTAAAATTAATTTGAAGATTTATTATTAAACAATTTTTTTTTAAAAAAAATAAAAATACTATATAAATCTGTTCTAGAATAGTCTTTTACTAATAGTAGATCAATTTCTATATTTGGGAATATCTAAAATAGGGCAAATTCACATGACCTTATGTTTAATAATTTTTACAATTAACTTTAAGGTTAGGGTCATCTTATACAATCATACCTGAGCTATATTCCCACTGGGTTATATCCCAACCTGAGTTATATCTCCATATTTAAGCAGAATAAATTTCTTTTTTTATATGTTTTTATATGTTTTATATATTAAGTTATATCCCTGCCTTAGTTATATCCCCAAAAATGCTCTGGAAAAAAAGGGTGATATAACCCAGGTATGACTGTATTAAGGTTAGGTTAGGTTTTAAGTTGTTATTATAAGTAAAATTGCCTTTTTGACATTTTTACTAACCTACCTGAGGTAGGTTTAGACTGCCGTTTTTTCTATTTTTTGGTTTTTCATTTTTGTTTTTTGCTTTGCTTCACCAACAATCATCAAAATTCTATAATTTGATTGGCTGTAATCACGTAAAATTGCCCCCACTTTAGACAACCCCTATATTTGGTAATATCTGGGACTGTATTATATAATTCTTATTTCATAAAATTTTTTTATCAATCTCCAAAATCGTTATTTAGTGTTGGCTGTAATAGGGTCTTTGTGTCAAAATTTAATACTAAAAAAGACACTTTCACATAACACTTATAAAGATTTTTTTACAAACACCATACAGAGCTTACTTTTATAGTATAATTTTAAAATTAATTAAAGATTTTCATGATTAACCTTATATAATTATTGATTTTTGAGGTGATGATAAAGAGATAAGATGGCTCAAAAATGTTGGTAAAAATGACCCATTTTTTAGCCATTATGTAAATTTGTGACTTCCAATTAGGTTACATAGATATTTCACATTGTAGTTGCAGATGTGCCATGTAACTCGGGTCTTGAAGAACCACTACAACCAATTAGAATAGCAATTTTATAAAAAATTTTTTTCAAGCTCAATTTTTTTCAAATTATTTTAGTGTACAAATTTGTACACTAAACCTGCCGGTTTAAGGAATAATAATTGAAAATAATATTTGCAAGCAATCCAGTAATGTTTTTTAATAAGCTTTTTTTTTTTTATTTTGTAGAATTCAGTAATCTTCAAAAATAAAAAAAAGTTTATTCAATTGGATAACTAGATAGCTAACAAATTTAATTTTTATTCACAAAATTCGGAGGGTTATTTTCCTAGCAAAAATCCCAGATGCTATATAGAATTGCATAATGTATTATGTTACATAATGCCGCATTACGTATATAAAGCAAAAAAACTTATTTGCACAGTTTGATTTGTAAAAACAATAGCAGCAGCTTTGATTTAAGGAGCGATGTGTATTGAGTATGAAATTTTAAGCGAAACTTTTAAAAATATTTGCAGATTTGTGTAATTTGTAAGTCATGATAAAATTTGGAATGCAACAAATCGTGCGACCGATAATAAAATACTTAAGTTCAATGGCCGAGTTGTAAAGATACAAATTTTTGTTTTTAGATTATACAAAATTTAAATAACGAAACTTTATATAAAATAATGTTACTAACTTAATACGAAAAAAAAGAACATAATATTCAGTCAGACCTTCCTAAATGCAACCCTCTAAATACAACAACTCTCTAAAGTAACATTTAATTCTGGCTTAAATATATACTAAACCCATAAATGCAATTTTTCTTATTGTTCTCTAAATGCAAGCTCTCAAAAGTCTGGTCCCTACGAGTTGCATTTAGAGAGGTTTGACTGTATAGGAATTTTTTCAGATATAAACCATCCTATTTAACTCCATTTACCCAATTTCTTTAATAGAGCAATCGCTCTATCATTATTGGAATTGGCAGCTAATCTTAAATAATTTATCCCACGCTCTTCATCTTTTTTCGCTTTAAGTTTTCCAGCCACATAAATATCTCCCAAATAATACATTGCATCAACATGTTTATTATAAGCTGCTAATTCAAAATAATTTAGAATTTCCTTACGTAATTCATCTTTCTTAGTTTCATCACTCTCTTTACCAAGGTCAGTAAACAATAAAACTGCATATCTGCATTGTGATTCTGCATGATTATTTTCATCGGCAGCTTCTTTGAAATACTTCTTGGCCTGAATTGGATCTTTTTCTGCATGATACCCATAAAACGAGTAATATCCTAGCCAGAATTTTGCTGCTGGGTTATTAATTTCAGCATTTTGTTTGAAGCATTCCCATGCATTCTTATAATCTTTTTTTTGATGCATCTCTATACCAACCTCAAGAGGTACAACAGTTGCAAAAGGTACAACGGCAACTTCTTCGGGAACTTCATCCTCAATCTCAATATTCTCTTCAAATACTGGCAAAGGTTCAGTCTTTTGTCCATCAAGATCTAAAGCTTTATTATCAAAAAGTTGTGGAGTACCAAAAGAAATTGGGTATTTTTTTGCTAATGCTTCAAGTTTCGGCCTTAGTGCAGGAATAGTTATTCGTAATTCTGGTTGATGGCACCATGCTTTTTATCAATTTAAGTAAACCAAAAGTAAATTAAAAAATAAATGTAACCAATGAAAATATAAATAGAATATAAAGGAAAATCTTGATAAAATTACCATCTTGGATGATGTTAATAAATTCTAATTGAATCTCTCTATCGGCAGGATTTTTAAAATTTCCCTTTGAAATCTTTTCTCGTTTACCATTCAAAACATGTTCAGATAATTTTCTCACATCCCAATCAGCATAAGGCAACTTTTCATAACAAAGTTCCCATAAGAGCATTCCAAAACTAATCGTGAAGGATGATTAGAGACGACAGAAAAATACAATAAACACAATTTAGATATCTGTAAAATTACCTAAATATTTCACAATTAAATGTATATACTTTTTCGTTGACAATTTTACCTTGGGTTTGAGTGTATTTTTTAATTAGTTCAGGAGCCATCCAGCGGATAATGTATGTCGCTAAGTTTGTAAGATTTCTAGAATTGGCATCTACTTCACGTGCGCATCTAAAATTTCCAAGTTTTACGCTTAAGTCACTTAGTACCTATAATTTAATGTTAGTAACTATATATTTGGAAATATTAAATGGGCTGATTGCTATAAAAGAGAAATTAACAAAAAGACTTCTGAAAATCAATTTTCATGTTTTAAATTCTATAATAAATTATGCGAAATGTAAATTTATTATAAAACTATTTTGTGCCTTAAGTGGAAAATAATGCTGATTTCATTATAAATGATTTATGTAAAAAAAAATGGGTACAATTTCTCTCCTTTTTATAGCACTTAAATATTAATTATTTATATATACTTACAAAAACATTTGCGCATCTAACATCATGGTGGAAAATATTTACTCTACGTAAAAATAGAAGACCAAAAAGTATATCTCTGGCAATTCGTATTTTTCTAGTCCAAGGAATATCATGCATTTCATAAAGCTCCCTTAAATTTCCTCGTTCAGCCCATTCAAAAACCATAACTTTGGAGTTATTAATTTCTGTGTGACCATAAAACCTGAGAATTTGAGGTGATAAACTCAATTTGCCAAGGATTGCTAATTCTGTTTCATTTTGGTCATCAATAGGTTCAAAAGGTTTACAAGCAACTTCTATTATGGATTTATAAATTCTTTTAAAGACTTTTCCTCTATGTACTGGAGTCTCGAGGTCACCTAATTCACTTGAATCGATCTTTTCTGCAAAGAAATCACCTTTTTTAGTCATTTCAGATTTCATAACGTCTATGCCTTGAGCTATTCCATCAAGTTTTTCGTCAATTTGATTGAGAGTCTAAAATAGGTAATTATACAAAAATTTCAAGTTAACCTAATTTTATAATATTTCCGAATAACTAAACTTACTTCTTCAACTTCTTTTAAAGCTTTATCAACTTTTTCAGATTCTTCTTTCCTAATTTCTTCGTTAGAAACATCTAACGCAAAGTGCAGATCAATCAAGCATTTATCAAATTCAGAAGTTAATTGCTCAAAATTCTTTTTAATATCTTTTGCTTGAAGAATTTTTTTGTATCCTTTGAGTTTTGATACACTCTTAGTATATTCTTTAATCTGCAATAAAATATTGTTGAATCTTTTAAATGCTAAATAATATGATTCTTGACGAAACTCTTTTTTCGTTTTTTCATCGTTTATGCCTCTAAATATCTTATCCATAGAACATTCTGCAGTTTTTACTCGATCAACCATAATCCGGCAAAGTTCTTTGTTACATTCTGCATCCTCGTAAATTTGATAAATTTCTCCAACTAGTACTTTCACTGCGCCAATTATTGGCATATAAACGGCAAATACATCCGCAGCAGCGTCAAAAATTTCTTTTGCAGTACTAGCCATGATTAAGGTACGATTATAATGAAAAGTCTAAGCACGAACGACGAAATTTCAATTGTCTCTAGTTAACAAATCCTTTTATAAAATCTAATATGCACATTTGATTTAGTGTTACAGGGCTCTTTCATTATTTGACATTAATATGCCTTTATAAAGAATTGTGATAGTGTTTATATATTTATTTGTCCTAACGCTAAATAGTAATAAAGATAAACCGTATTTTGGTGTGCCAAGTGATGCATGTTAGGTACATAAGGGAACGATGGATATTCTGGCGCACCTAAGCTGCGTCGCTAATTAAAAGTTTATGAATTAATATTTATTTC